CTCCTATATATATATACACCTAAGGCAGGGGTGGGGAACCTGCAGCCTTGAGGGCACATGTGGCCTTCTAGATCCTCAGGTTTGGCCTTTTGACTGAGCCCAAGTTTTACAGAACAAATCCTTTCATTAAGGGGAGTTGTTCTGTGAAGTTTTGATTCAGTCAAAGGGCCACACTTGAGGACCTAGAGAGCCACATGTGGCCTCAAGGCTGTAGGTTCCCCACCCCTGATAAGGGTTTGTGATGTTGAGGGGTCCTAGGGTGTTGGATCTGCCATGTTTGAAAAACAAAACAGTTTGTTGACATTTTTTTTCGTAAATCTTTTCCATTTTTGTTTAGTTTGTAATGTTCCTTTCATTACCATCCTTGAAAGCTCTTGGGTTGACTTTGCTTGATTTGGTATTTTGACAAACTTTCTAATAAACTGGTTTGACCCTCCACTGCTTCTTTCTGCTTTATGAAATAATATTGCTCATAACTGTCCACCATCCTTCTTTGTAAGATTTTATAGGCATGTTTATATTCTATCCTGGCTTTGCCTTTGGTATCTATCCCTCACTATTTTGCAAGTAAGTCAGATATTTACTAAGGCACATTTTGAATTCTTTTGGTTTCTTTGTCCTGGCAATTAATTTACAATGGCTAATGTCCTGAAATTAATTTATGATTTTTTTTTACCATGTAAGATGTTAATATCATTTCTGAAAACCCTCCTAATAATTATGTACAGTCAAACAAAAGAATTCTTAGAATGGCTGTGTCCCAAAATGGACATTCTGCATTTTAAAAGTCATCACCTCTCTGGTGGGGGTGTGTGTGTGTGTGTGTGTGTGTGTGTGTGTGTGTGTGTGTGGCAGGAGAAGGGGCATCAATGGAATTGCTTTGATTCTCAAAGTTTTTTTTTTTTTAATGTTGTCATTGTATAAATTCTCCTAGCTCAACTTACTCTGCATCAAGTCATATCAATAGCTTTTAAACATAATGAAGGGTTAAATAATTTTAATTACATACCATATTTTTTTCTCTTGGCAGTTTTCCTTTATCTCTGCATTTATTTCTCTCTCTTTCTTTATAGTTATTTATATATAATGGTTTTCCCCTATCAAATTGTTTATTCTTCAAGAGCAAGGTTACATGTCATAGCTATATCACTGTATCCCCAGTGATAACTACTCATACACTGCAGATACTTAATGTTCATAGTTCATAGGATTTAAAGCTATAAGAATCACAGAGTCATAGATTCATTGTTCAAAGGGAACTCAGAGATCCTCAAGCCCCACTCCATTTCTCAGATTAGGAAACTGAGGCCTAGGAAAATGAAATGGTTTGCTCAAGATGATACTGGTAATGGGTTAGTCAGTCATTTGCTAAGTGCCTAATATATGCCAGGTATTATGCTATGCACTGGGGATACAAAAGAGATAAAAGACTGTTAAGGAGAGCTCACAATCTAATGAAAGACATAACATCCAAGCTGGTGTGTACAAATAAGCTATATACAGAAGATAATTAAAAGAGAGAAGCCACTACAATTAAGAGGAATTGGGATAGGCTTCCTTTGTAGAAGATGGGATTTCAATTGAGATTTGAAGGAAGCCACAGAAGCCAGTAGGGCAGCTAGGTGGTGAAAGTAGATAGAGTGCCAGACCTGGAGTCAGCAATACTCATCTTTGTGAGTTCAAATCTGGTCTCAGACACTTACTAATTGTGTGACCCTGGGCAAGTCTTGTCTCAGTTTTCTCATCTGTCAAATGAGCTAGAGAAGGAAATGGCAAACCACTTCAGTATCTTTGCCAAGAAAACCCCAAATGGGGACGTGGAGAGTCTGAGAAGCCATGAGGTGGAGATGAAGAGGGAGAGCATTTTAGGCATAAGGGAGAGCCAGAGAAAGTGCCTGGAGCCAATTTTACTAGGAACAGCCTGGGAGGTTAGTGTCACTGGATCAAAGAGTGCAAGACAGAAAGTTAAGGCTTAAGAGGACTAGAAAGGAGTGTGTGTGTGTGTATAGGGGTTGGAGGGTAGTGGGCTATGTTATGAAAGCCATTAAACACCAAACAGGATTTTGTGTTTGATCTTAGCTTCCATAGGGAGTTTATTGAGTAGGGGAGTGACAGACATAGTTGGACTAGTACTTTAGGAAAGTGACTGGAGGAAGGATTGGGTAGGGGAGAGATGGGAGGCAGATACTGATCAGCAGGCTATTTCAGCAGTCAGGAATTTAATTTCCATATTCTGACTCTAAATCCATAGTCTTTCTAATAATTCATTCCAATTTGATGACATAGGGGTGGGGTGGAATAACATAGTACATAATGTTTATGTTGGAATCAGAGGGGCCAGAGTTCTCATCCCAATTTATGCAACTAGCTGTGTGCCCCTAGATGTCAGTTAATCTCCCTTAATCCCAGCTGACTCATTTATAAAATCTGGATAAAAACTATCTCATTGGGTTGATGTGAGGATCAAATAAAGTACTGCATGTAAAGTACTTTGTAAACCTTAAAGGTCATGTAACTGAAATATAATCAATGAAGGGGTGGGAGAAAATTGCTTTCAAGACATCAGTTTTGACATGCACTGTTATTTAAATACAGATTCTACAGAATTTTAGGAGAAAGTGCTCCTCTTAGGCTCCCAAATGCCTAAAATGAAAGGGTGAAAAGTACTAAGAAGAGTCTCCATCTTTAACAGGATTTCACGTATAAAGGCTTCATATTAAGACAACTGAACCAGGCAGTTAGGTGGCTCAGTGGGTAGAGTGCTGGGCCTGGAGTAAGGAAGACCTGAATTCAAATTGGCCTCAATCACTACCTGTGTGACCCTGGGCAAGTCACTTAACCTCTGCTTGCCTTAATCCATGGGAAGGAAATGGCAAACCACTACAGTATCTTCCAAGAAACCCAATATGGGATCACAAAGAATTGGAAGGAACTGAACCACAAGCGCACCAAAAGGAAAAAACTCCAAATACTTCCCCTCCTCCGAACCCTTGGGGCTTTTGTGAAGTCACCATTTAAAAGAGTACAAAGGAACTCAAAGCAGGTTAATAAGGTTAAGGTAAAGGTGCTATATAGTGTAGTGTAGGAGCCAGGGAGTTAGGCCCCATTAGAATGTGAGCTCCAGGACAGCAGGATTGTCAACTTTTCCGTTGGTACTTCAAGCCCTTTGAACAATGCCATGCATAAAGTAAGTGCCTAATAAATGCTTTATTCATTCATTCGTTCAGAAACCTTTATATTCTAACCATTGTCTATAGAGAGGTGAGTATGCAGCATGATGAGGGCAATAAATAATAATAATGGTACTAATAGCTAATATTTATATAGCACTTACTACATACCAGGCACGGTTCTAAGAACTTTACAATAATTATCTCATTTGTTCCTCACAATAACCTTGGGAGGAAGGTGCTATAATCTCCATTTTACTGGTGACGAGACTGAGAGGCGTTAATAGACTTGCCCAGTCACAGGATGCTAGTAAGTACATTACGGAGTGGGATTTTAGCTCAGGTCTTCCAGGATCCATGTCCAACGATCTTGGCCACTGTGCCATGCTGAAAAAGATGGGTTAAGAACTTACTCATACAGTAGGAATTTGGAAGACGGGCATAACCTTTAACCCGAGTCTGAGACTCAATTTCACCAGATGCACTGTGCTCCCTTTATAAAACCCTTCTTTGGGTCCACATCTGTCCCATCGTGCAGATGTTGAAGTAACAGCGGTCTCCCCTCGCCGCGTGAAAGTCCCACTTTCTCTTGCCGTGCAGCGGCGGGGCACGGCTGGCTGCGGGTGGGAGAGGAGAGGAGGGAGGCGGAAAGAGCTGAGCTAGCTGCGCACCCACGTTTGCAGCCCCGGCTCGCTGCAGGCGGCAGGAATCTGGTGCTTGGCCGTCGTCATGACAACCCGGCACCGCGAGCTGCCCTCCTCCCCCTTTCCCTTCCTCCTCCCACCACCTTCCACCAGTTCCTTCCACTTCCCGCTGCCTCCCGGGACTCTCGCGAGACCTTGCCCGGAGACGCGGAGAAGCCCTGGAGGTGATCTCACCCCCGAGACTTGCCGAGAGGCGGGGAGGGGGGAGGGTGGTGAGAGTGGAGGGGGGAGGAGGGGGCGGAGAGCGGTTGGGAGGGGGGAGTAGGGAGGAGGAGGAGGGGAAGAGTTGGGAGTGGGGAAGGGAACGTTCTGCGCGGGCGAGCGAGCGAGCGAGCGCGCGCCGCCAACTCCAGCAGCAGCAGCAGCAGCAGCAGCTTCAGCAACAGCAGCAGCAGCACCCGCCGCCGCCGCAGCAGCACCACCAGCAGCAGCCGCAGCAGCTGCAACTTTGTTAGGGAGTTGTGTGCGTGCGTGCGTGCGGGAGCGAGCGGGCGGGCGGGCGAAAGTCAATGCGGCGCTGAGAGTCGCAGGGAGTTGGGGTGCCTGGTGGGAAAGCAGTCGGCTTCTGAGGCAGCCTCCCCTCCCCCGGAGCTCCTCCCGTCTCCTTCCCCGGTACAGTCCCCTTCCAGTGAGCCTCCCGCCCCCTCCGACCTCCTCTTCCCTACCTGTCCTTCCCCGCCCCCTCTACTCCTCCTGCAACTCCCCCTGCCCTCCCGGGCTGGGAGCCCACCACCCCTCCCCTCCTCGGAGCCGCCCCCGCCGCCTCTTCGTCTCCTCGTTTTCATCCTCCTCTTCTCTTCCACTTCCTCCTCCTCGGTTTTTGGGGGTGGTGTTGGGAAGTGCTGCTCGAGCCCAGACGGGAGCGAGGGGCTTGGGGAGGGGGGATCCATCCTCCCCACAGTCCCCATACCTGAGTGGCGGCACCCCCAGTTCCCCTCCTCCCCCTCCACCCCACCCCAGCCCTCAAGCCCTTTCATCGCTCCCTCTCCCCAGGTCTCTAGAAGATAGGCACAAGAACCCTTCTCTCCTTCCCTGGGCATTTCACCTTCGGCGTTCCCTCTTTTCTCCTTGGATACCCCTTTCACAGAAAGACTTTTTTTTTTTGAGTTGGACTGATTTCCCCCCTCCCCCTCCTCTCCTTTTCCCCTGCACTCCACTCTTCTCCCCTCCCTCTTTTTCCCAATCTCTGCCTTGCTTATTTTCCGCAGAGAACCCCAAGTAGGCGGTAGAGGAGCGTGTCAGTGGTGTGTGTGTGAGAGTGAGAGTGTGTGTGTGTGTGTGTGTGTGTGTGTATGTGTGTGTGTGTGCGCGCTCAGTGTAGCCAGGATTCCTCCTCCTCCTCCTCCTCTTCCTCCTCCTAAGAAGAGAGCTCGAGTGGAAACTGCTCCTGGACACCATCTGCCTCTTCCGGGAGCTGGACAGGAGGGGAGGGGGGCGCGCAACTCAAAAGGGGTAAGTGGCTTCCCCAGGTGTCAGGTTATGGAGGGGGGCGGGGGGAAATGAAGGGATTCCAGGGGAGGTTGTTGCATGGATGTGTGCTGTTCCCTTCCCTTTCTGCTTTTATAGCTTAGTTTGAATGCGCGTTTGCTGTTGGGGAGACTGTGAGGAAGAAAAAAAAGATTAAACTTTTATTTTCGAATTTGGGGAGTGATGCGGTTCTTGCAGAAATGCCTCGGAAGGAACCAAAATTAAACTGTTGTTGGGACATTAAAATGCATGTGTGTAAATATACATACATACCTTAACCCCGAATCTGCAAAGCCGATGTGGGGGGGCGGGGAGCAGACTTAGCTTCTTTCATTGGTGATCTGATCTAAACGTTCTTTCCGCTGGGAGAGGTGGTTTAACGTGAGCTCATGCATTTTGTTTCTGTGCCCAACTTAGCAGTACTCTGTATCCCCTTGATCTTTTCCCCAAGATGTTCATCCATTTAGTTTTGGAACCCAAGTAACGTTGATGAGCGTCGTTTGTAGGCTGTGCCTTAGGGGATGTGTAAAGTGATTTAATCGTGGGAAAGGTAGGGGAGAAGTAAAATGTTTGTAGGTGGTTAATTTCACTCCCTAGGGTCTGGAGGAGGGAAAGCTGGAGAATGTTTTAGTCCTGTTCTCTTGGAGCAGGTAAAAGGGAGAAAGGTGGAGGCAGCAGCAAAAAATAATTTTTCCTCCTGCACCTCATCTGTTCCCAACTTCTCCCCGAATCTTTTAAATCTTTGAAAAAATTGACAGACCTAAATTGCTCCACTCTTTCAGAGAGAACCAGTGATCATAGGATCTCAGGTTTAAGGCCAGAAGGTACCTTACAATTTATCTAGTTCAACCTTCTCTCGTCTTACAAGTGGGGAAACACGCCAGAGAGGTTGTGACTTGCTCAAGGTCACTCAGTGCAGTGCCACAAGCATCTGTTAAGTGCCTACTGTGATCTAGGTTCTGGGGATTCAAAGACATTCCCCACTTCATACAGCTTACATTCTGCTGGGGGAGCTCAGCTTGTAAATAGATAAATACATGATTATTTGAGCAGGGAGAGAGCATTAACACCGAGGGTGAACTTGTTTGCCTGTCCCCATCCAAACTTACCTGTCTTGAATCTTTTTACCATAGGATCCTATGAGGGTGACTGAGTAGGCAAACTGATCAGGTAATTCATATTATGGTGGTAATACACGGGAAGCTGCAGTGCTTTCATGGCTGGGTAGCTCGTAGTGGATCTGTACTGAACTCAAAAGGAGAAAACCTTTATTCAAGGCTGGGAGCCTGCCTTTACCAACCATGTGACCTGGAGCAAATCACTGAACTCACATCCTCAGGTTCCCTGTCAGCAAAATGGGGGAATAATACACTATCCATTTCCCAGGTTTGTTAAGGAAAGTACCTGAGTAAATTATACCTGATAGATGTTCTTAATATTTTAAAAAGATAGGAATTTTGGGTAGGTAGATAGATACTCAGATACTCCACATAGAATTTTCCATATAGTGCTGGGATTTGACCCAGGTTCTCTGACTCTAAATTAGGCAGTGTTGGTCAGGCTAACATTTTAGTAGTATTCATTGCTGGAAAATTTAGAGATAATGAGAAATGTTTCAGTTTCTAGGAAAATCTAAATTTGGGGATTTAGGGAATGTATTTTTGAAGGAGTACCTGGGAATGAATGTCTCCTAAACAGCATTTCCTGGTAAATTTCAGTTTTGTGATGACTGTTTAGAAGAGAAAGTATTTAATGAAATGCTTATAGCCTGTTAGACTCATCTCTATATACTTGGGACTCTGAACTGACATTACAGTGCAAATCTGTTTTCCGATTGAATGTGTCCGATTTCTTTAGGTTCCTAAATATATCTTCATGAACAAAGATTGTAATTACCTTTATAAAGCAACCCTTTCAAGATACACTAGTCTTTTTATCAGCTTTAATACTGGTAAATTGTGGTAGCTATTAACCGTTTTAACATGTTGAATAGTCTTCTAAGTAAAATATTTGCTGACTAAAATCTCTGGGTAAGTTTTTGAGTGGGGGCCTGGACCTTTGAATTCATTATCATGAGGAACTCCTCTTGTCTCTAACTTACAGTTTTAGAGAGTTGCCTGAAGCACAGGCAAAGTTAATGACTTTGCCTTGGTCACACTGATTGTATATGTTAGAGGCTAGACTTGAACACAGCTCTTCTTGACTCCAAGGCCAATCCACTATCCATTAAAATGCATATCTTCTTTACAATGCACAGTCAAGAGTCCTATAAAGCTTGTTGTTGCTACTGCTCTTGCTTTCTTGATTTTCTATGTATGGTCCTTAAAGAAAAACTTGTCACTTTTTTTCTTTCTCTTTTTTGGAAAGGCAGTTAGTCTGCTCCCAACCTTTTAGCAGAATGAACACCAGCAGACTGATAAAATAGAACTTGGTGACAGCAGTATTCCCAGAGAAATGCTTTAAATAATAGAGTTTGCTGTCAGTGATGCAGCTGGCTATTAGATGACAAAGCAGGTATTAACTAAGGAATTCAAAAAATTTAATTAAAAAAAATCCCAGTACCTTTCTCACTCAATTATTTCTTGTAAACTATTAACAACTATTGAAAGGGACAAGAATGGTACTCTCCTGATTAGCCAGAGTAAACAAAGTATTTTGGGATGGATGGTTTTATATAGCTAAGTTTTATTCTCTTATCTCCTGGTTTAAGGCTGATAGAAAACTCTTACTAAAGTTTGCTTATCTGTCTGGATTTGCTTAATTTAAAAAGAGACATAGTTTTTAGCAAGTGACTCAACATAGTCAGTAGGTGTTGCTGTTGTTAGCTTCTCTTCAGTTTTTTTTCCCCCTTTCTGCAGCTGGTTGAGTTGGAAATCCAGTTTTGGTACAGTGAAACCTTTAGATCTAAAGTGCCAAGCAAAATTCGCAGTGACTTTAGTGAATGCCTGCAACTAGGTTGAATTGAACTTTAGGCAATAGTTCCAATATACCTTTGGAAAAGGGCTTCATTAACATAGAACAGATTTTACTGAGAATCTTGGAGTTCAGTAGTCCTTTCTCTGATCATGTTTTCTAGTAGCGTTGGCTAGGACATCTCATCAGTTACTTTGGTTTGCTACTTTCTAGCCACTTATATTTTTATCTTTTCTTTAAAGTCACAAATTGAGAACTGCTGTAAGAATATTTTGTTGTCTTTTAGGACATTGGTGTTGGCTCAGACTTAGGGTGTGAATGTTTCTCTTTGATGTACTACCAAGTAGATGATTGTTTTCTACCTGTCTGAGCATCTGTGGGACCAGGAAGATAAGGAGATCTAGACAGACATCGGGCAGCTAGATGGTGCAGTGGATAGAACACAGGGCCTGGAGTCAGGAGGACCTGAGTTTAAATTAGGCCTCAGACACTAGCAGTGTGATCCTAGGCAAGTCACTTAACCCTGTTTGCTTCAGTTTCCTCATCTCTAAAATGAACTGGAGAAGAAAAAGGGAAACTGCTCCAGTATCTTTGCCAAGAAAACTTCAAATGGGGTCACAGAGTCAGATCTGACTGAAATGACCAGAATAGCAACAAAAGACAGAAAGGGAACAGACTCTTTTACAATCTTACTAATCAAAAAGGATAGATTTAATTATTAAGCACCTACTAAGTGCAAGGTACTGGAAACACCGATGGAAAAATTACAGAGTCCTTACCCTTAAAGAGCTAGTAAGTGGGGATAATGATTGAACCACAACATAATTTTATACCACAGCTTCCATTTTCATGTTTTTAATTGCAGCACAATGTTGTTGCAATGACCCACAATGACCCAAACCTTTCTGAGGATTTTCAGTAGACATCTCTGACTTGGGACTTACATTGTTTGTTCAAGGACAAAGGTAGTGATTAACCTCATCTATGAGTGACAGACAAATAAAGAAGACTTGTTCCATTAAGGTATAGCTAGATATAGAGATATTGACGTTTATGGCTTCTTTCTGTCATTAAAAAAAAATTCAGTGGCCCAAAAGTCTTGGTGCAGTTTTAAGCATATCAATAAGATTATTCCTCAGTTATCAATATACCATAACTTTGTTTTTGATTTGTATTGATTTTGTTTTCAGAATTTCATGACATAATATGCTAGATACCTTATGTTTTGCACAGATTTATTTGGAACTCATTTGTCTCTGATAGGGATAGAAACTGAAATTGTGATTTCACTTGTGTCTGGAGTTCCTCAAGGAACTTACTTCATCAGTGAGGTCAGTACTTGATGTGCAGCTTAGAGTCTTAGAAAGCTGTCCCTGGAGCACTGAGAGGTTAGAGGCAGGTCTTTCTGGCTTTGTATGCACCATGCCACCCAGTGTCTCACAGTGGGCACTTCTTTTCTGTACTAGGGTTTGGAATTGTTGAGTTTTAAAACTGGAAAGGACCTTATCCTATACTTTAACTCCCTTATTTTTCAGGTGGGAAAATTTAAGACTCCACAGAGGTGAAGTATTTCCTCAAGGTTGGATTGCAGAGCAGGAACTCAAACCCAGCCCTGTTTTTATAACAAAACAAAAATGCCTTTCTTAGATTTTGTTTGGGAGGCTTGTTAGACATGTAAATTTTTGTTGTAAGAATGAAAGGGAAGAGGAAAACTCATAGTTGCGTCCCTCAAGCCTCTCCTGTTTCCACACACCTGCCAGTCATTTTTCTAAAGTACAGATCTGACCCCTACTTAGTAAACTTCTGTGGCTCCCTATTGCCTCTAGGGTCAACTGTCGGCTCCTCTGTTTGGCTTTGAAACCTCTCACAATCTGGCTCTAACCTACCTTTCTAAGCTTATCATCCATCGTTCCCCTTTGGCTGAACACTCTATAGTTTGGTCATACCGACCTTGTTGCTGTTCTTTAAGCCTCACACTTCTGTGTCTTTGTACGGTCTGTCTTCCAGGCCTGCAATCTGCTCTGCACTTGAATCACCTTCTAAAAAGCTGAGTTGAAAATTCCCACAACTGA